GGGTTCGAATTCTGTCAATGACAATTCTCTTAAAAAATTAATAAACTTCTAAAAAATATAATATAAAGAGAGGGAAGACCCCTAAATAAATAAAGGGGATAAAAGGGTTGTAAATAAATAAAAATTATTAATTTAAAAAATCATACTTTCAACGTCAATTTATTAGAACCGCAAACCGACGTGGCCTGGTACAACTGAAAGCTGAACATCCACTGGTCTTTTGTCACTTATAAGTGTGTTTATTTTTTAAAACTTAATAATCATCACATACACAAATAATAAATAATGTGTTGGAAACTAAAACTTCAATTAAGTTTTGAAAGGTCAACATGTCACTTCTGAACTCAGGTTAAGGTTGAATGAGTATCTTAGCTAGAAATTGCACATACTATGTAAGTGGCTTAGGGGACACAATCATACACTAGACTTAGCCAAACTATGATTTGCAAGCTGGATTCTGAAAAAAAAAAAAAAAATTCGAAGCAAATAGTAGAATCAAGAATTGTATCTGTTCTCAAATGTTTGAAATAAGATTTCATTCAAATTCAAGAACTCAATGAGGCTGTTACAAGCAAAGCAGTAAAAAAAGATGTGATTTTGGAACTTAGGTTAGTGAGAGATCGAAGATTTTGTATGGAATTGAAGGGAAAAAGAAAAGTTGTTGATAAACTGATTGAGATTAAGATAAAGCAGGTTTGGAGAAAAGGATAAATAAAGTGAAGTCCATTTGTTTTTGGATCTGCCACTATCGTATCGTATGCATCTAATGGCAATATAAAGAGGTGAAACACTGAGACAGAAGGTGAAACTTTGTGAATCTTTCTTTGTCTTGTGCACTCTTCTCTTTTACCACTTTATTAGTTCTAAAAGTTTGCCCAACAAAGCAAACGCGTGCACGTATCTCATTTCTTTGTCCACCCCAACAATATGCATGTACACATCTCGTACACAATAGCCACAAAACTTAATATACACTGCACGCGTTTCGCCATCATATTATAAACCACACCACTAACACAAAACTTAATATACAATTGTAGTGATGCTTCTGCCAAAGTAACATGCTGAAACTAGTTTTTCTTCATGTCTTCGAGAGGAAAAGAAACACCACCTTGTGGTAGTAGTTGGATATGAAGTCCCAGTGGAGGAAAAAGAACTTAGAGAACTAACTTGAGATATTTACAAGATATTTTGGCCCATATATATAATAAAAAATTCTAATACTTAATTTAAATAAAAAATAAAAAATAAAATATTTTTGCTTTAATATATATTTACTTGCATATCAAAATTTATGTTTTTCTTCTTTTTTTTAATATTTGTTTTCTTTCTTTTTTTATTGTTTATATTTTTTTGTTTTTTCTGTTTGTAAATTTTATTATTATCTTTCTTTTTATGAGATTATTTCTTTAATTTCACTTTTATCATAAGTATATATTTTTTTCTTTACCAATTTTAAAAACTCCATAGTAAAAACATAAAACCTTTGATGAATGTTGAAACTTGTTTTTTTTTATCTACATTTTCATTATCCTTTTTTACATCAATTTTTTTAAGAAATATGTATCATATTTTTTTATTTTAAATGTTTTTATATTTTTATTTATAGTCAACTTCTCTTTTATCAAATCTAAAAAAAAATCTTTTTATATGAATTTTGAATATTTATAAGTTATTTATATATTTAATCATAAAAAAAAAATAGGAACACTTAACACATATTTTTTATTAATTTCAGAAACATATTATTAAAAATTAATTTGATATCCAAATAATTTTTAATTATAATTAATTTAATATCTCTCACATTTATTTATTCTTCATTATCAATTTTTACTTTAAAAATGACATATTCATTTAGTTTTTCTTAAAAATTTTAATTATGTAATATGCTCAACTATTATCTATAACTCAAAGAAAATATGTTGTAATAAAGAGATGGTCCTCTTATTCTTCGTCCTCTGCAACCTCTAAGGCTTTATCGTCTTCTTTCTCTAACTTTCCCCTCTCCATTTCATTATCTTTTTCCTTTCACTCTCTCTTGCAAGCACTCCTCGCTTTATTATTTAACATGTTTTGATAATGCATCTTGCTTATTTTCATTAAGATTTAATCAAATTCTGTGCTTCAATCTGATATCATTTTAATAAAAAAATAATAATTTTCTCTCCCAAAATAAAATTTCACTCTTAAACCATATAAATGTAACATTAAAAATTCAAACATAAACTTGAATCATTGCCGTAAAAAATATAAATAAATCATTCGATCATAAATCATAAATAAAATAAGTGTAAAAATAATTTCATAACATAATTACTTTTAAATTTAAATTATATAATATAGTAATTTTTGTAAGATATTTTAATTATATATAGAGATAGTAAGATCCCTCGAGAAATACAAAATCTATTTCTATATTTTAAAATTATGAAGTCGTTATTTTAACTTATATTTATTATTTATTATTTAATAGTTATAAAACAAAATATTTAAATAAAAATAATAATTTAATAATTTTTTGTATAAAAAATAATAATTACTCCAATTTATGCTAAACAAAATTTCTTCATACATCATATTTTGATAACAAAAATATTACTTAACAAGAATATTAAAAAAATCCTGAATTTTATGAAAATTAAAAAAAAGTTCTGATTTAGGTTAATTAGTTATTATTTACAATATATTACTCATAAGTAAAACTCTATAATTATAGAAATTTGTATTTTAACTTATAAAAAAGGTTTAATTACATTAAGGAATTATATAATTAAATTAATAAGATTTAGAAATACAAAATTATCTTGTACTTTATATATATAATAAAGGAAATAAATAATTTTAAACACGCACTGCAAAAAGATGAAGAAAATGTGATAAAGCTCCCACTGTGTGTTTAATTTGTAGGTAGTGTGATCACAGGTCAACCCAAAAATGAATTAAGTGGGAGTGGGGTGCCTCACTATTTTTTAAAATAATTTCTAAAGATTCCTCTTGAAAACCATGGTTGGTGAGATTATGGTCAACTGACCAAAAATTCTTAAACAATAATAAGATAACTTTGTGATCAACTTACTCAAAATAGAATAACGTTAATAGACCTGCGTGTCATGACAGTGTACCTAAAAACAAAGAATTTTGTAAAGATTAAAATAATTAATGAGTGTCAAGGGCCAGTAGGTGGCATACAAATATCCATAAGTATTAGAATCATAATTTAAACTAGTCTCGTAATTGTAGGAGGTGCGTTTCTGCAAATTCCGTGTGATATTCTTGATCTGAATGGAGGTGATGAAATCTCACAGAATTTACAGATGTAATAATATTATCATATATAGATAAATATTATCAATTTTGACAGAAAATTTATCAGAAGGTATCCTAAAATATGATAATATTCGTAACTTGGAAGGTAGATATGATAAATATCTCGCAGAAGAACCAGGTTGACAAAACATGCAATCAGAAATTTAGAAAGTTGTGAGGCTTGTAGTGTCGGGTGATGTCTTGAATGTGAGCAACATCTATCAGACTGCATGCCTTAGGGATACATTTTTTGCTATCCAACTAGGTCATTGGATAATATATTCTACTATACGGAATTCGTCACGATAAAAAGATAAGGAGCGTGATGGGGGTGTTCAAAGATTTTCATGATTTCTTCTATTTGTTTTTAAAGTGTTTATTTGAGTTAAACAAAGAGAATTAGGGTAATTTTGTTTGTTCTTAAAGAGCCATTGTCCACAAAGGGTATAAGTAAGTCGTGTGTGTTGCATACGTGTTCCACTAAGGTGACTAATAAGGACGTCCTACAACTCCCAAACTAAGAAAATGTGCATAAAAGTTTCATTCCATTCTCTTGTAGTCTTGTCTTGAATTCGTGTTGGACGTCCACTAACTTTGTACATCACAAATTCAAGACGAATACTCATACATTTTATGACATTTTTTAACATCTACCTTTCAGTATTAGACATAAAATCAAGGAAGAGTAGCGAAATAGATTTTAAAGAGAAATATTGACATAAAAAAATCTAAACAATACTCGAAGTTATCAAACTCTCTATCCTTAGGCTCAGCTGTAACACTATTGTTCAAGCGTATTAAAATAGTCTGACACCATTTTTTAGATTAATTAAAGTTGATTTATAAACATTTTTTTCTTTGACTCATAAAAAAACAAACTTTAAAGATAAAACTGTGATTAGGACCAAGATAAACAGTGATTAAAAAATGTCATGAACTAAACAATACTAACTAATTCTATCCGAAAGCATTAGGGTTAGGAAAAAGAGCTAAGCCACATATGAAAGTCAAGTTCCTGCATAAAGAATGTCTCAAAATGAATATTATCTTCTTCTTCTTTTTTTACTGTTTATAAAATTGGTGTTTTATGATATATGTTTGGTTTAACGTGGAATCAAGTTAAACATGATCATTGAATTTAAGTTAAAGATAATTTAAATAGATTCTATTTTTTACATTCAGAACATAAATGCAAACTTCAAACATTAAACTAAACATGAGCTTAATTGTATACACATGTGTAAGGTGATAATATAGCATTGAGTTATGTATTAACCTTTCTTTTGAACGTGACTCTAATAGAACAAAGGAATTAATACCATTTAATATATAATTTGAGGTAAATTAATAAAATATAGTGACAACACTTCATGGACTCTTTAGACTTTGATCTCCCATCACCATCAGCCTCCACTTATATGCCACAGTATAAATTGGATATCTGTCCAAATTGAGTTCCCAGGAGAACAAGTTATAAAATTCCAAGGGAGAAAAGGGAAAGGAGTTGGGAGAGTAAAGACAAAATGGAATCAACTCATGTAATAGCCATTACACATGTAGAAGAGAATAATATAGCTAACACAACGAAGGAGAATAAAACATTCCAATTTCAACTTCCACCCATCATTTCCCATCTTAGGAAAAATGAAGTCCACTGTGTCTCCATTACTTCCCATCCCAGACAGAAGCAGATGCAAAGAGACCAAGGCACCAAGAATATGATCCACTGCATCAAAGTGGGAATCTCCTTGGTTTTGGTTTCACTCCTGTACCTCTTGAATCCTCTCTTTAAGCAAGTTGGAGAAAATGCAATGTGGGCTATCATGACAGTTGTTGTCATGTTTGAATTCTCTGCAGGTACTTTCAGCAACATTCAACTCTTACCCATTGCAAAAATGAATCTAATGCACATATATTTCATAAACATGTCAGGAGCAACACTTGGAAAGGGCTTGAACCGAGGATTAGGAACTATTATGGGAGGAGGACTAGGTTGCTTAGCAGCAATTTTTGCCCAAGGCATTGGGAATGGCAGGGTTGGCAACTCCATTATAGTCGGTACTACAGTATTTATATTTGGTAAGCTTTTGATAATTATATAAAAAGTTAGTCTAAGAGAGACACAAACACTATTAGTGTTCTTGGCTTCTAGCTAGTAGTAGCTATGATAGTGTCTGAACTTTATGTATGTGTTTGAAGTGCATAACTTAAATAACTTTTGGTGCGGCATATATGTGTTGATTTCAGGATCATTCGCAACATATCTTCGACTGATTCCAAGCATAAAGAAAAGATACGATTATGGAGTGATGATATTCATGCTGACTTTCAATCTAGTCGTGGTTTCTGGCATACGTGCGAATGTGAAAGTGTGGGAATTAGCCCGCGAACGTCTCTTGAATATACTGATGGGCTTCATCGTGTGCGTTTGTGTGAATTTGTTCGTCTTTCCTTTGTGGGCCAGTGATGAACTTCACGATTCCATAGTCTCCAGATTCCTTGACCTTGCCAATACAATTCAAGGTATATATATGGCAATGCCATTTACAACCTCATCTTGATCATCCACATACATGAATAGAAAAAACGTCGTTTCACTGTTGTTTGTTTAGGCCAAAAGAAGTTTATTTATCCTCTTTCATTGTAGGTTGTTTAAGCGAATGTACCAAAACGATTAATGAAAAGGAAAATCAACCCCGTGCTAGCTTCGACGTTTGCAAGTCGGTGTTGAACTCCAAGTCAAAGGATGAATCATTGGTACCTCGATTTTTATCTTTCTTGAAGTTGAATGAAATACTATATACTAAGTGTGCAGAGTAATCAAGTTATTTTTGTTTTTTAGGCAAATTTTGCAAAATGGGAACCCTGGCATGGAAAATTCGGATTTTCCTACCCTTGGGGACGGTACTTAAAGATTGGGGAGATTCTTCGAGAAGTGGCTGCATTTATTCTTGCAATGGATCGTTGCCTTGCAGCATCAAATGAGGTACGGTTATAGTTTTCTTTCTTTTTATAAGGTTCAAAGTTAGGTGTATATTATACGGTCGCAAAACCTCAAATCAGATTTGATGAGCTCAATGAACATTTTTTCTCAGCCCATGGCCACTCTGAGAGAATCACAATGGGTTCATTTAGAAACGTGCGAAGCAGTTAATTCAAAGGTTGCGCGTATTCTGACAGAACTAGGAGACAGCATGAAGCAAATGATGAAATGTGATGCAAAGGGTAACGTTTCGGACCAGTTGAAAGCCGTGAGAGAAGATTTAAGCTTGATCATTTCCACGTCCAAAATGGTAGAACTTGAGGATGGTCAAGTGCTAGCCATTGCTAGCTTCGTGTTCTTGGTAATGGAAGTGGTAGCGAAGGTTGAGCAATTGGTGAGAGAGGTGAAGGAACTCGGAAACATCGCTGGTTTTCGCACCCCAAGACCCCGTTATGTGATACAATGATTGTATGTACTCTATAAACCATTCCCAACTTTAGGTCATATAGATTATTAGAACTGTGTGTTCTCTTGAAGCCAAAGAAACACATAAATATGTAATTGAGTTAGCATCCAATAATTGAAGGTAGAAAATATGCCAATAACACATTTTCAAACACACTCTTAAAATGTTTCTTGGTGTTGATTAAACTTTATAGGTTTCATCTCTAATTAATTACACTGATATGGAGTGTTACCTAGAAAAAAAATGTCACCAACAAATATGAAAAGAAAAAGTGAGCCTTGACCTAAAATAAATTAAAAGTAAGAACAAAATAATAATATTTAATTCAAAACTTATTCTTTAGACAGATAAATTCAAAACTTAATGTTAAAAAAATACATCAATGTAGATTTAGTACTATTTCTACCACTGCAGAGTCCATCTTTTTGAGAAGAAAAAATATGTACAAGAATACTACTCATGTACTTATATTTCATCATGCTTACGCTATCACAGCGCAATGTTATGTTCACACAGTTCTTGAAAAAATATCTGAAGAAAAATAGCAAAATGAATAGAGGGGATCGAAGAGAATTAAGCTTGATTAATATGTGACTAAGCAAATTTAGGTTGAATGATACGTCACCGTTCGTTCATCAACAGAAAAGAACAAAATTAAATGGCCGGCAACAATGCACAGCACTTCTCCACTTGAAACCTCCGCTACACCCTCTGTCATATCACTAATTCATTTGATTCAATCACCTTCCATAATTTCATTTTTAAATTATTAAATATATATATATATATATATATATATATATATAAGTACTTTCATTCATTTATAAAGTGGTATTAGCATTTTATCATACATACAAATAAAATTTAGAGTATATTAATATATAGATTTTAGATTATTTTAAATAAGGGTGGAAGAGAGCTGTCCCAATTTGCAAAAGCTGTCTAATCAACTCAAATTAATTACATTTTTTTGTGAATTAGGTTTTCTTGAGTGAATCAGATTGAATTGTATTTCATATTTCTAATTAGGATAACATATTTAGATTACAAACAATAGTTTAAAATAAATAAATAGATGTGAGTTACAACAAATAAATAAATAGTAGATCTTATTTTTCATGAGGGGATATCAAAGATTATATCATTAACATGTATCACATAAATAGTTCATGAGTTTCTTGTTAAGAGTTCAATTTTCCACCATAATTGCTTAGTAAATCTTGTTGTAAACTTTCATTATCTTTACAATTCAAATGAATTAGTTCCCGACAATTTTGTTGAACATGTCTTTGATTAAAATGTGGAAAAAAAAAACATGTAAAAGGGACAAAAGGTTAGTATTGAATATTAGACATCAACATAGATGTAGCAGTAGATAAACCAAAGAATCAACGAAGGACCTACACAAGAGTAAAAGCTTGTGAAGGTGACAAAACAAAACACATAGTGTGCTAGAACTGACGCAAGGAATAGAAGAAGATGGGCATTCCCACAAAATTTGCAACAATTTCTATGGTTTTGTTGTGGCTGTGGAGTGTTGCTGATGGTGTTCCCAACACGAGCATCATCAATGTTCTCTGCAACAGTGGGTTATACACCTCAGGGGACCCTTTTGGATTTAGTTTAAACTATGTTTTGGGGGACTTGGAGAAAGAAACAGCAGCACAGAAGAATTATGACTACCACAACATTTCACCATATCCTAATGCCTATGTCTATGGCCATGCTACTTGTAACCTTAATCTCACTTCCTCTGATTGCAAAACATGTCTTGGTGCTGCTAAAATGGCCTTGTTTAGCACATGCCAGACACCACGGATAGGGGCTCGTTCGGTGCTCCTTGATTGTACAATCAGGTACGAGCAATACCCATTTGACGATTAGAGATAGAAAATTGGAGCTTTCCTGTTCAACTTTCCATCACAATTTTCAACATTACATCACACAGGTTCAGACTTGCAATACAAATGTATAGCATATACTTTGTGTAACAATTATGCCTTAATTAAGCATCCATTTCTACTTCCTTTTATTCTCTCAGAAAGTAATCCAAGATTTTTTCTTGTTCCTATATATGTATGCCAATAGGAATCTATATATCTTCTTCTTTTTTTCTCTCTACAGACAAAGATTAAAATATTTTTGCATTCTTTTTCCTGTGGGAAAATAGTCTTTCATTTGTGAAGTCTGATTTCTTTCTTCTTTTGTTTATATAGGAAAAAGGAAATCTAGATTTGCGGTATGATTCTTTTTCTAGTTTTTATAATTTTATTCCCCTTTTTCATGGTACATAACATGTACATGATTCTTCTGCATGCTGAGTAAGAGATCGGTTGCGTGATTTTAAAACTTCAGAAGGAGAAAGATGGTACATTAAAAAAAATACTTAAAATGCCTCATTTGCCTGAATATATTTTTGGGCGTTTGAAAGAATAATATTTAGTGAACTGTTTGCGTGATCTTAGCAAAGGAAATGGTTTTTCTTTCTGGGAACACCGATATTCTAGTTTCAATGTTAAAGAATCGAACTGGTCCAGATGAAATTGAATAAGATTTATTAACAACAAAACACTCCTTAGTTTTCAAAGGTAGCATTTCTTTGAAGTATAATTGAATATAATCACTTTTAAGTATAATTTAAAAAGAAAATTTTGAGTTTCTGTATTTACCGGTCAAAACACTTCAATGTGAAATAACATACAAACCCAGTTGTCAGGCTCAAACGCGATTAACCAAAGGCATTGCCGAGTATGGTTCACGCAAAGTGCAGAATGCCAATTTCAAGAAAAGCTAGTCAAATTTAATTTATATGGTTCGTAAGTATTATTCCAAGAAATTAAAAATACCAATAAATCTTGAAACTTGAACCAGATTGCATGAATGAATCTGTGATTGATATTAATATAATATACCATTTTGATCATTTTAATGGTTGTTGAACGTATATAAACCACTGTAACGTATTTGCCTCTATATAAACAACAACAACAACAACAACAACAAAGAATAAAAAGGTGAAAAAAAAAAACAATCTTTTGTTATATACAATGTACAACCAGCAACATCATGGATCATATGAAATTTACAAAAAGAAAAATTAAATTCAGTATACCATCGGACTAATCAAGTTTGAATCTCAGCTGTTATTTTTTCCTTTTTGTACAAGATATCCCTATCATCCAAAATTCCCATCCCATCTAGATATGTTCACCCACAATGGCAGACCACTACAGAGAGGGTCAAACAATCATTTTGTAGGAAATTAGAACATAAATTTCTTTGGTTACTAAGACTAAATTCTGTAACATCAAGCAAACTAACAAAAGTTAGGTGCACCAACTAGTGAGACTGACCAGAAAAAGATGCCAAATTCAACTTGCAGCTTCACCTCGCTCAAAAAGGGTTGTCACTGATTTGTATAACTTACAACATTCTCTGCAAACTGTATAGATCAATTATAGTGGAACTTGAGAAACATTTGTGGTATTTTGTCTCTGCTCCCAAAAATCCTCCCTCTTGAGAAGAAGTGCATAAAGAAGCTCATTCCATGAATCGGGAACACCAGGTAGGCACCAATGGCTACAGTCTTGGCGCTGCATTGGGGCTGTACCGTCTGGTCCCAGATAGTAAATGGATGCATGGCCATCTCTCCGGCGTATTGACATTTGTGTAACATTAAGCAAGTCCAGATTCAAGAACTCAGATTTATTTGTGCGTTCTGACAAGACATCAACGACAGTTCTGAAATGGTTGTCGGATACTGCTGGCAAGAAACCTAAATCAGGTAATGTTTCCAAGTGACAACCACCACCAGTATTCCAGTCACCACCCCTGCTACACCCAATGAATGTGTTAACAACTTATTCATATCTTCTTTCACATGTTGGCAGAGCAGTCATTTAGTCATAGATACACAGAGAGTTAAATAAAGGTTTTGAAAGTTGGTTCAAAAATGGAGCCATACAGAAATTATAGTACGGAACAAAAGGAGATCAGCTATGCATGAACCAAGACACAAACTATGGAAGTAGCAATATGAGAAAGAATAACACACAACTAATGTCCACATATTTATGGTGTTTAAAATTTAGTTTTAGAATTCAACGGATACATGCCATTGAACATTATTAGCATTCATTAGATGAGGAGGAGTTGGAAAGCTTCATTAATGCCACCTACCATGCAGTTAATGTTGTTAGTCAGTAAAGTATATGCATCTGTTAAAAGTAAGGCACCTTAAAGATGCAGCCAATTGTGTCCGTAACTCTTAAAATTTAAGCCACACGTCAAAACCATAATACAGTAAAAAAATTCTTTTGAAAAGGAGTAGTGAGAGGAATTTATAGGAGATAGTATAAACTTGGTTAAGTTTACAACGATGTGAATTCATCTACTCTAATAAATCTATAGGCGATGGTGCACTGTAACTTGAGTTCACAATTAGAAAGTATTGATAAACAAATTTTTTGAGCAAAAAGAAATACAATGTATAGGTCAGCCAATTTGAAGGTTTAGGCAAACCTGAAATGGACGGGAGCATAAGTTCGGAAAAGGACGTAAGTTTTGTTTGTGTTTACTCCATTGTCAATCCAATCAACTACTGTCTCTATTGATTTTCTGAATGCCTCTTCTGTAGTCATATTCATCTTCACTTCCTCCCCTATTTGGAAGTAACAGCCCCTAAGTAATGAAATGAGCCAAACATCAAAGCCACATATAATTATTTCAACATCGATAGTTTAATCACATGAAGAGTAAAAATAATTGTCGCAAACTATGAACAAAGGGAATTGGAATACGCCCAAGCCTTCCTATATCGTGATGGAGATAAACAGAGCATAAATAATCAACTTTTCTAGAAAACATATGAATCAGAAGAGGTTTTCGTCACTTTAACTGCAATGACAATATTTGCAAGTAATAATATATCACACACTTCACATAAATTCGTTCCATCTTCTTGCTAATAAAAGGGTCCCCTCCTATGCACTATTAAGAGGAAGAAAATCAATCTACCACAATAAATTCTCACCATATTTGGCAAAAAAATTGTCCGGGAAAGCAAGCAATTATTTACTTCCCACAAATAAGCTAATCCAAAAACGCACTAAAAAAAACCTATCTTTTGCAATAAATCGTATCAGTATCTTCACCTTCTTTGAGAGGTCCTAGTTAAAGCGCCAAATTTAGGTGGCACTCAAGGATTGAATTATTAAGAATGAATGACAAAAGAACAACAGATAAAAAAGGCCTTACATTTTTATAGTCTTCTCATAATTCCACCAATGTCCAGCATTGAGAACCAGCACATCTGCATTTCTCCATTTATGTGAAATCCAGTCCATATGATCCACTCTCAAAGTCATTCTTACCCCATCAGGTGCACCAGAAGGTGGTCGACCCTGCACTACAAGATACGGTGATCTATAGTATTCAATGGTGCAGTTGAAATCTTCAAACTTAAAGGCCAAGAAGCCTGTGTGCTTTGTAATTGGGCTCCCATTAACCTCGTAGACCTTGGCCTTATTTGGAATTGCCGAAGAGAGCATACAAAGTAGTGATTCCCATTGGTTCCTTCCAATTGAATCACCAACAAAAACTAGTCGCTTGTTCCGTAGCTTTTCCAACATCTTCCCTGCATCAAATCTGTTACAAATATACAGTCCATCATCATATTCCATTCAACAACCAAGCTAAAAAAACATGGCATACTATTGTATGCACAAACAGAATGCTACCCGAGATGTAAGTCAACAGGAGCTGATTATAGTAACCGAAGAATAATGAAATAAAAACATAACATGTTGTTCAATTAAGAGCAGGAAACACCATAACAGCTTAATCCCCCAAATCGAATACGATTTTTTTTTCCTTTTTTGATAAAGAACAACAGACACAGAGTAGCTGTTGATCTTGAGCAATACGCCAGAGATTATGGATAGGCAGTTGACAGTGACAATTTAGGAATCATCAACAGTAACAAACCAATAACAGAAACGCTCTTCGTCGTCTATAATCGATGGCAAAACTCACATCATAACTTAACTTCAAAGCAGCACCTTTTTTTCTTCGTATCCAACGATTCAAAAAGCAAAAAAATAAGAAAAGGAACAAACACTTCCTTCACACTAGTAAAGTTAAAGGAAAAAGAACAAACGCTTACTTCAGATGAAGTTAAACAAAAATAAAAGAATAATCACGATTAATCAAAGTTGATAAAAAAAGGATGGTTCATCAAAAACAATTAAGCAAATTCGGGGCATGTACAACAAAGCGCACGAACGGTGGTGATCCCATAACAATCAACTACGAGACAAAATTCTAAAATCATTTTGTGTTCAGAGAAACAACACGAACCAAACACAACGAAGCTTTCCTTTCTTGTCCTTATTTTTTCAGCACTTTTCTATACCAACCAACCAACACAAAATCTAAAATTAAACTAGAAAAAAAAAACAAATAAAAAAACTGCAAAATTTGGGGTTGATTAGAACCTGGGCAAGTTGCAATCTTTGGGTTGCCATCGCCATTTCGTGTAGAATGTGTCAGGTCTGCCATTCTCGGAGCAGCGAAAACCTTGATCCAAGAACGAACAGTTTGCGGAATTGTAAAGGGGGTAAGTCTCATCCCAAACCCAATTCCCATCAAAGACATCACAGCCATCACCCTCTGGGCTCAGAAACTGAACCGGGCCCGAAGCAGAAGAAGAAGAAGAAGAAGAAGAAGAAGATGAAGAAGAAGGAGAAGAAGTAACAGAAGAGGAAGTTACAGAAGAAGTTGAAGATGATGAAAAATCGAAGTCAAGGATAGTGGTGGCTCGGGAGCGGAACCCTTTGTTATCCAAGTAGAAGAAGCAAGCGATGAAGAGAGAAGCGACGAAGAAGAAAGCAAGAACTCCAAGAGAAGAGTCGAGAGGGGAAAAGCGTTTAGCTTTCTTGAGAAAATCAAAGTGGGTCACGGGGTTGTCACCCGAGTCCTTCGGAGAAGCACTCTTGTTCATCTCGTTGGGTGGGAACAAAACACACACACACACATACATTCATTCATTCATTCTTTGATGGGTGGTGAAGGTTTAAAAGAGAGGTGGGGCTGGGTTGAACAGTGAGGATGAGGAAGAGAGGAAGGTGGGTCCATAGAGGAAAACAAAAAGACATTAATGGAAGAGAAGCAAAGGTGTGTTTTTGGGGGTTATTATGGGTAATGTAAGGATGAAGATGGAAGTTGAGAGAGACTGAATGAATGGGAGTTTTGAAACGTGAAAGGTGGTGATCGGAACGTTTAAGGTAGTGTGGGGGGGACAAGGAGTGAGAGTGGTGGAATTTTGCTGGTTTTTAGGAGAAGGGCGGCAATTTGTTTACAACACCTATCATGTGTCTGTGGAGTGTGAACTGGAAGGGATGGACCTCTAATTCTTATATTATATTATTATTATTATTCTTAAATATTTTTCTATAATATTCTATTATAAAGGATGTGGATGCAACTAACCCTAAATTCTTATAATTTCGTAAACGAAATTGTTTTGTTTTTCTTTCAAAATACTTTTAATAGGTTGCTTGAACTATTTTAATTGTTCATAAAAAAGAGATTATTTTTACACTATAGAAAAGAAAAAAGAAAGTTGAATTTCATGGGATTGGTTGAGTAGGATAAGGTGGGGTTTTCTAATGTTTGAGTCTTACTTGTCAAATTTTTGGACAAGATAAATATAAGTTTTATTAAAAAAAATAATTCCAATACTTTTTATTTGTTTTTTTATATTGACTTTATTTGTCATTTAGTTTTATTTTATTTTAGTCTTTGAAGTAAACTTTTAGATTCTTAATTTGAATTAAGCGGACAGAAAAAAATACAAATTAAGAATCAAAATTAAGTTATTTTTCAAATAATGAGATTAAAAATTTACTTTTTAATTTTAAAATAAAACTATTTTATTTTAATTTGAGGAAAAAAAATCTTGTTTTGAAAATATAAAGTCAATTTTAATTAGAACAAGTCATTGTTATATAGATTTCTGTTAACTAATTTAATGTAAAATTATTCAGTATTAATAATTTACAGAGTAGTTAATAAAAATTATATGTTATTAATTCAGAAATTTCAATTTAAAATCTATAAAAAGCACTAATAGTGTGATGCCTCATTTGTTAAAGAACAATAAAAATAATCATTTTCGGAAAACAATTTACAATTTAAAATAGTAAAATATATTAGTGAGTGAATTATTAAAGTATTTGTTTTTCAGTTTTTTTAGGGCAAAAAATGACATGTTTGATGTGTCATATACTATGAGTAGACCGAGAACAAGAACAAAATCTCTCACTAATATTGTGTTAGTTTCTTAATAATGATAATATATTTCGAACGTTTTTCGTTTTTATTTGAATTAAATAAATATAAAATGCTAAAAAAAAAATCAATACGTTTTTTTTGTTCTCACACAAGTTGATATAGTCATGGAATGGAAGACATTGGACACGAACTTTGTCCGATAAGTCGTAATCATGGAGTCAATTTTCTTAACCTTTCTATGGAGTAGAAAGAAGAAAGATAACATTTTTTTTAGTTTCCAAAGTTTTTATTTAATTAAGAAGAAACAAATAGTATTAATAAATAAAAGATAAAAAACGTTAGTCATATAATAATTATAAAAATATTTATGTTTAATGTAATTAAATGTTTTAATTTATTTTTACATAAAATTAATTATCTTATTATCTTTTTAAATAATTAGTTAGTTTTATATTATTAAGTAATTTTTGTTCTAATTATAAGAAAATTTGATTTGATTTTAATAATAAAAAATTAATTTCATAGAAAATCATGATTAATTATATATATATATATATATATATATATATATATATATATATATATAATCAATCAGAGTTGTAAGTTTACAAAATTTTACTTCTTTTAAATTTTAGATAATATATAAATAAATTGTTTTCTTAAATATTATCTCGAACTTAATTTTAGAGAAAAAATGAATGAATGGTTTCACATATATAAAACCTCTTTAATTACATGTTATAATTTGAGCCTATTTGTCATCTACGGAAAGGAAATTGAACTATAAAATAAAATGCAACACGACACGTTTTCAAATGGAAATTGTATTCCTTTTTCTAAATGTAAATTTGGCAGGTTAACTTTTTGTGTAAAAAAATGTAACTTTTCTAAATTACTCTTAAAATAAATGGATCTAAACCCTAAATACATAACTTTTTTAAGATAAACACGTACGTTTTAGTTAGCTTGACAAACATTAATTCTTAACTTCTGTAAATATCAGTTGTGCCACAAACATGTATAGTATTACATTTCAAGAACATATCAGCAAAACATGCAGTTTTTTAAACACACACTTATCTTCAATCTCTCTGATTTCCAATCAAAACTTGTTCATGATTGTTCCAATAACACAGAAAGGCAAATAATATTGTACTTTCACATGATGTGTTGATTAAGAAAGCTAACCATTTAGCACTTCTTCTAACAGACCTGTGAACCTTTTCAAGTTGCTTATTGACTGTATTTTCCTCAGCATTTTGTTTCTTACTTTATTTTATTTGATTTTATCTTTATGGTATGAATGAAAAGTGAGGTTAGATAGCAGAAGAAAAAGGGTAAGAAGTAGTTTTAATTATCCATTTGACAGCTAAAGTATTGCACATTTCAATTCAAATTAGGTCGTGTATTGTGTAGAGGTGGTCCTCTTTCCCATCACTGCTATTTATATTAGTAGTCTGTTCATCATTCTCCTTCAACTTTCACCCAACTAGGAACCTACCTTTTCATCTATTATACGGGTATTTTTGTATTTAAATAGATATATGATGAAGGAAATTTTATTCTGCTTTTATTGAATTATTATTTTATTGCTATGACACATTTCCACGAGACTTCTACTTTCTTCTAAGTCCCTTGGAACTTTTTCCAGTGTTCCCATGACATTCACTTCAATAAAATCAAGAATCTAAATATTGGAAACAACCTTCAAATGCCATAATAGACAAGAAACGCAAAAAACATGTATCAAGGCTTGACCACTTGGCAGAGCTGCAACCGAGACAACAAATATGCTTACATAATGTAGAAGCTAGAAGCATCAAATCATGCCAAAAACGTCAGACAACGAGGAAACCATCAAAGAGATAAATCACCGAACAGTTGGTGTGCATCTTGAGAACAGACGGATGTAGTACTAAAAATACTACCTTCAACCGAGTTAGATCCCCAAGCAAGAATGCTCGGAAGCAGACCAATATAGTTTATCAAAAGTTGAAACTTGATGGCAGATAACATCGTTTGCAGGGAAACGTTTACAATTCCAAAATCGACTAATCCTCATTCTTCAATTGTAGTAGATTAAATAAAATTTCAATCATTTAAATTAATTTGATTATAATTATTGATTTGTAACGAAACAATAATTAATATAATACAATAAATTTTTCAGTAAAAGAAAAAAAAGTAAAATGATGGTATAAAGTACTATAAATTAACACTTTTTAACCATAGAATGAAAAATAACTATAATAATATTATTATTTTGAAGTTGTATACTGTATGTTTGCAGATGGAAGATTATAAAAAAAATATTTACCCAATATAATATTAACTTTTATTAATTTAGAACAATACATCCAATAATTATACATAAAAACATTATAAACAACTAAAATATGAGTGATAAAAATTTAGAGTAATTCACAGATAATTTTTCCTTCATCCAGTTGATAGCTACATCCAATCCTCATTCGAATGAAGATTAAAAACACATAACTTTGAAGACTATAGGATATATTTCACCCAAAAATAATTTTTTAAAATTTGAAATATGTTAAATTTGAATTCCTTTCTTTTTAAATAATTAAAATTTGTAAATAATTTATTTGGATAAAATAATTTAAATTTATTAAAATTTAAAATTTTTTATTTATATAAAGTATTTTTATTATTATCAAATATAGTAAATTAAGTCAAATTTACAATATTTGACCTTAAATCTTAAACCATAAACCTTTATTCACATAAGTTAGGTTAGACTAAAACATATTATATCAAATGAAATTAAATTAAAATAAATCAAACTCATAAGATCACCTATGTTTAAGACAAATTGTACTAGATTTAAAATATTAGGTCAAGTCATGTTAGGATGCATCAAGTCATATCGGAAGATATTGGGATGAGTCAAGATTAATAAGATTATATCAAATTGAGTTGGGTCAATATAAATTAAATAAGATAATAACTAAAAAGAATAAAATAAAATGAGATAAATTAATTAGATTATGACAATACGTATCAAATCAAAAGAGATCAAATCAAGATAAATCAAGACACATTGAGATAAGTTAATTTGGATAAGGATTATTCAAATCTACTTTAATTAATTTGGTTAAACCTAACAAAGAAGGATTATATTGAGTTATGATAAATCAATTCAAGATGCATTGAATCATGATATAAGTTAGATTAAGTCAATATACAATATAGTTAATTCAAATCAAATTAAGCTAAGTCATATTTATCTAGATTGAATTAGGTCTACCTATATTAAAACAAAAAAAGAGAGCAATTTTACTAAAATTGAATATAAGAGAATATCCATAATTTTGAAAAATAAAAAAGATAAATTAAATTTAAAAAATTTACTTTTTTTAAGATAAAAGTTAAAATTATATTAATATAATTAAAATATCTTCATCAAATTTTATATTAAAATAATAAATTTTATCATCAAAGTATCTTAAATACTCTATTAAAATATATTTTCCTCTATAAATTCTCCCACCACTTGATTGAAAAACTAAAATTGTACAAATTACGATAAATGAATACTTAATTTGAATAATTAAAATTTAGAGACAACAATCGCACATTTATAATGGTTAGGAGACTCAATTAACACAATCAGAACATGAAAGACTAAGCCACACAATTAAGGGTTTTATTATTTGTTATAATTTGGACGAGTGCCCTTTGAAACAA